AATATTTCCAATATTGCCCAGGGCTTGGCTTATCGCCTACTCCTGCTGGTGAAGAGGAAGGCAAGAAGGAAGATCTTGGCGTCTCAGGGACAAATGCCACAGAAGTAGCTGTTTTCGCGTTTCGAGTTGTTGTCGCAATTGAATCATCATAGGTATAGGTAAGTGTTCCATTAACCGGTCTTTCAGGTCTGATCGTATCTTCTGTGAGAGTTGCCGGTGCTAATATTTGATGTTACAGTCAGAGCTGCAATTGAATACGGTGTTCTCGAATAATAGCTTGAGAAGAAGCGGCTATTTCATCCCGTCTGTCTGTAGTAAGCAATTCCTTTCCGGGCTGTGATTGAGAAAATATCCCCCGGGTTCGGTGGTTGGTTTTTGGTTGAATGAATATCTGTACTTCCCGGCCTTACCTGATTGCTATAAAAGTTTGAAAGGTAGGTTTTTGAAGTGATGAAATGGAAAGGAAGAACTGCTTTATGGAGGAAATGCTTATTCACTCTAATTGAATCATAAACTTTTCAATCAAACCCCAACTATTAGTGAAAGCTCCATCCTTCAATCAGTCATCTTACTCCTTCCTTTAGTCGTTCCTTCATTGACTTCGTTCATTCAGTCACTCTTTGCCGAGGGAAGGCAAACCAATCACGATGTTCGCGTCTCCTCCATACGAAATGAGAATCACGCCAATCACCAAAGAGCTCAGACCTCCTCTATATGACACCTATCATTGCGTAGATGTCATGGAAGGGCACCTCTGGTATGACCAAAGGCGTGAGATTGAAGTAGTGTACCTCAAGTCCCACCCAGGTTCATTAAGTTCACCATGTGATGAAGAGGCTCGGCACCTAACTCATACCGCTAACTCGCCCTAAAAGATGAACTTGAATCTCGATCGAACAAGGCTCGAAGAAGCTATTAGATACGAATAAGTGTTGGATTGGAGGGGAACTTCTTTCTCTTCCCCAACTTTCAAAGTCTTGCCAGGGGAAGAAGTAGCTACGGTCAACTCTAAACTATCTTTCTTCTTTCACTCATAGCTATCTGACTGTGAGGATTCCCCCCTTGTATTCCCCATAGGCTAGGAAAGGTTAGTAATAGGCTCAACTACAAGTCTTGGAGCTAGGCAGCTCAGTATGGTATGAGGATCGAAGGGAAGCTAACAATGGGGATGCCCCTAGTTGTTGAATTCCTTTAGTTGGAATGAAGCTCCGACCTTCTCTTATGGCGCAACTAGACCAGAACGAGCTAGCTGATAGAGCTCTTATGCCTACTTCTACAAGTTAGGTCCGAAGATGCGACTATAACTTAAAGAAGAGGAAGGTTTTTCCTGGGTAGGACTTTGGCGAAGCCAGTA